GGTGGTGGCAGGAGCCTCTCCCACCTCTGTGGCAGCACTAAGAATGTCCAACTAACGGTTTAAACCCGATCCCTTGGGGGCCTAAGCCTTTAAGTCGGACATCCCCTGAGGGCTCCCTGGCTGCCAGAAGGATGTCTGACTGCAAGCTTAGGCCTGATCCCCCGGGGAGTGAGCCTAAGTCAACAGGTGGACATCCCCCAAGGGGTCCTGGACTGTGAATGGGCGCACAGGAGGCTGATGGACCCCCCGCAAGTGCACAAATTTTTGTGCACTGGGCCTCTAGTTTAATGTGAAAATCTGTGATCACCTTAGCTGTAACTTTGCACAAATTTTTGTGCACTGGGCCTCTAGTTTAATGTGAAAATCTGTGATCACCTTAAGGGCTGTAACTTTTTTTTATTAATCATTATTGAGTGGAATGGAATAACTTTTAACAAACATGAAATTGAGTCAAGCTTATTTACAGAATGTCATTATTTTCATACCATATTTATTAAATGTGCACCATGAGTCAGTAATCAAATACAGAAAAAAAAACATAATTTCCAATCTTTTATTAAATATGTACTGAGGCATTATGAAGGTGCTAGAGGTATTATGGTAAATACATCATTAATTCTGTCCCAAGGCACTCACAGTTGAAAGAGGCACCCAGGCCTATATATGTGGAACAATTAGAAGGCCAGGCAAGGTATTGTGTAGTCAAGTGCTATATAGTTTGGCAAAGACTGTAAGTCACAAGGCCTATGACTGACAGGAAAGGTCTGGTGGGGGAGGCTGGACTTCATATGAGCCTTGAAGAATGGGGAAGATTTGTATGAATGGAGAGGGACAAATAGGGCATTTTCCATCAGGAGAACATGAGCAAAAGCCTTAGAGGTGGAAGCATGATCATGAGCATGGTGAGTTGACAAGATAGTAAGGAACCTAGACTGGCTGAAAGAATGCTGATGAGCAGTGGAAGATATAGTTGGAAAGGTAGGATGAAACTCAATGACAAAAACTCCAGAGTCAGATAAAGAGGGTTTAACCTAGTGATCCCCTAAAGGTCTTTGAGGAAGAAGGTGCCATGATAGTTGATGATATGGCTCTGGTGTATTTCATGTGGTACCTTATGTCATCATTATTTTTTTATAAGCTTTTCCCCGACTTTGTCTTTGGCTGCTACTCTGTTTCCATGTTAATTCAGAATGTTTGTTCTCATTTAGAAGAAGCACTGGTTCATCAGATCTTAATGACGAGGAAGTTGGTCCTGGGACCCTGAAGAGCAGCCAGAGCAGTGGTATGACCCCAGTCACTCACAGGTCACCAGCCCCAAGCCCATGCAGCATTACCCCAGTCATCAGTAGAGTAAGTACACAAATGTGAAGGGACATCAGTTTTCTGGGAGTTGACCTCACCACCATGACATTACTGGGTCTCAACTCTCTGTATCTCAGTGCATGTTGTTTACAATGATTAATGGTAGAAGCTTCTTTATCAGGACTGAACCTCTTGCATCCTTAGCTCCCAGCAGGAAGCCTGCAGTAGAAGGAAAGAGAAGGAACAGGTTTAGAGGTGGAATTTGTGTGATGAGGGTTTAAATGGCTATATGGTTTAAACAACATATAAATAATTTTAGAAATCTTTGATTTTGATCCTCCATGCTACTTCTCAAGATGTTGAATGCACTAAAATTTTTCCAAACTGATTTAAATCAGGAAAAGTAGAATCTTGAAATTATTTTCTAGTTTTCTTTTCTATACATCTGTTAAAATAAGGGGTCAATACATAATGAAAGTTTAAATTGCATAATATATGTGTGTATAACATATCTATGTATATGGAAGCTGCTCTTTTGAATGAATGAGCAACACTAGATTTTTTGGATTAAGCAGAAAACCATATATATACAAACTTTATATAAAAACTATAGTTTTTTTAGACAGCCAATATTTAATGAGGGCCTGCTATATGCCAGTCCTGGTCACATAAATACTTGAAAGATCTGAACGAATTAGCCATGTAGGAGTCTGAGGTAAATAATTCCTCCAGGAAAGAACACCACTTATATTCAGCAGGTACATTACTGGATGGCTGTTCCAATTACTTATGGGTGACCTCCTTGAAAAATCAGTGGCTTTGCTCATCCAATATCTAAAATATGTTTAATGCCCCTGAAGGAACAACCGGTGCATAGATTCTGAGGTGTATGCATGAATGATATGTACAAGGAAGAGTAAGACAGCCTGTGTGGCTATTGCTGGTGAATGAAGGGAGGAGTATTAAGAAATGAGTTCAGAGAAGTAATAGGGACAGATGGAACCTTGCAGATCACAGTATGTACTTTGGCATTTACTCTGGATAATATAGGGATAATTAGATTGTTTGAGCAGAGGAGTGACATGATATGGCTTCTTTTATGCAGGATCTGGGAGCTGTGTTAAGAAGCAGCTGTAGGGGAATAAGAGTAGAAGCCAAAATGCCATGGCAGAGACTGGGCTTCAGGAAAGAAAGATAAAAGTGGAGGTTGTGAGTAATCAGATTCTACAGATTTTTTAGAAGGAATAGTCAAAAGGCATTCAGACAGATTTAATAACAATAGATATATTTAAACACTTGTAGTCTAAATTATACTTGCTGATAATAGAGATGCCATATTTGAAATTTCTTAAATATTTATATTAAGATCAGCAAGCAGTACTATTCAATAGCCAGAAAAATTCATGGCTATTTGATAATTATATTCATTTCTTTGGTCACCTAACAAGGAATGATCCTCAAAGTATTTAGGAACTGGTATTGCAGGGAAACTGAACAATCAGAGCAAATACTGGCACAAGTTTAGGGAAATATCTTGGGGGCTCTTATATGCCACACATTACCTGCATTATGGGAAAAACTAGGGTTATGGAGGAGGGAAAGCACAGGGAAGGGAATAGACTGGGAGGGGTGCTACTTATAACTGATACAGAAGTCTTAAAAAATTTAATAGCTGGGCAGCTGTATCATTGGGTAGCAGAAGACTATGAGTTTAATGATCAGTAAGCTAGTCAAGTTTGTTCTCAAAACAAGGATTATCTTCCTAAGTACCATTTTTGAGGGGAAAATGTCACCCTTGTCATGTGCTAATACCCTAAAAATTGACAGCCTCTATATGAATTTTTTTTATTAAACAACATTTAGATTTCCCCAACATAAGTTCCCTAGAACTGAGTTGAGTATATGTACATATATTTAGGCAATAGCCTGTGTTGATCTAACTTTTGCATTCTAGCTGATCTAGCTAGTCTTTTATATGAGACACAAAAAGAAATATTTTCTGTTGAATAAACATAAGACAGAACAGTACTTTAAGAAGCACACTTCTCTTTCATGATGAACGGAAGAAGTATACAGAATGAGATGATAATCAATATAACTTCTCCCAAATTAGTCCCATTTCTCAGCATCTCTTTGTTTTAATATTCTTTTCTTCTTTAGCATGTGAGAAGTAAGTTTTTAAAATGAAAAACTCTTAGAACATCAAAGTCTCTAACCTGACCTCTGCTATAATGTAACTTGTCAACTTTAGGTTTCACAGTCTGAATCTCTAGGGTATGTATTGCATGTTAATGACTGTACAATATTAATTGGAAAATTAGTGTTCAATAGTAATTATCCTCCCAGAGTGCCAATTGGAAAATTTCCTGTCAACATAGTTGCCTCTAAGGAAGTTGGTCTTACTTTGTTGGGGGACTCAATGTATGAACAATATTTTGAGGAGTTGGTGAAAACTGACCTAAACTAATTTATCTGTTTGACCGCTGTGACAGTCTTATGATAAATCTAGGTGGTATACAGCAAGCAATTATGAGCTATATCCTTCCTACTATAGGGAGTATGTATTAGAAAATAATCAAAGACCAAAAACAGTCTATATTGAAGCTGCAGTGATTAGCATGCTAAGCAAATGAGAGCCACATCTCTCTGGAGTGAGTTCATCAAAATGTCCCTCAGTGTATGGGCAACAAGGAGGAAATTCCTTCCTGTAGAATTTTTAAAAGCATTTTTTATTGTTATGGAAAAATGAATTTAAAAGTTTCTTTTATATTTGATCATTATCACATTGGAGTATCATTTCCATGGACATTTAAACTCGACTCAGTTACTAAAAAGTTCAAAATTAGTTTTTTAATGCTCAAGCAATGTTGGAGTGATGTAACAGCCAAGCCCCTATGGGCCCAGGGAAATTTGGGACAGAGTTTTCTTTTATTATATGTTACAATGAAAGCAAGTCTCAGACTGAATTCTGCAATTTACACAAGCATTTATTAGCAAGACAGTACCCAAAAATCACCGATTCCTCTAAATTAGGGAAGTACCCATTCTTTATCCTTTTATGAACTTTGATAAGCCCCTTGCATGAAAGTTCCATTTCAATAACAATGTAACCAACCAGATTCTGATCATCTAGCCTGCTAAATGGAAAAGGTGGCATGGTCTTCTGTTAATTGGATGTGGAGTAGGTAAGGGGTGGTTGAGGAGAAAGGATGTTGAAAGGGGGACAAGCATAGGGCCATAGTTTTAAGCCTACTCTGAGGGTATGAAGGTTGCCAGATTCTTATACATAATTTATGTAAGTTGGAAGTATCTGTATCATTTACTAACCATATAGTAGAATGCTCCCAGATCTTGTAAATGAAAAATTATTTCCAAAGCCTTCATTAGCATTAACTAGAGAGCAATTATTAATAAGTTTTAGAGTTATATGGACTCCTGATGAGGGTTCTCCAAATATCAACTATCTCCTAAAGAATACATACTTAAATGTGGCTTTACTGAAGTGTATTTCTGTGGAAGGATTTTAAAGTAAATTATTGTCAGTATAATGTTTTTTCTGTTAATGTTTACTTTGTGAGAAGGAACATGGTTTTGAAAATTCTTTGGATTTGGCTGCCATTGAAGGCACCTCAGAGGACTTCACAAAGAATCATTGCACAAACACTTCTGGCACACCTTCCATAGCAGTGTCCAGGGCCTCCCTCTCCTCAGGTGGGTATTTACAATATGACTGCTCTGTTGTACAAAATGACTAAATCAGGTGTAGCTTACTCTCTTGTGGGCATTAAATGGATGTTTCATGCCTTAGAAAAAAATTGTCTATTCTTTTGGACCCATGGTGGTAGGGCCACTCCATAAGAACTACTTATAGGTGGTCCCAGGTGATGTTTTGAGCCTCTTACATTTATGCAAAATCTATTTCCTAAGTGTACACTTGCCAGGCATCACTGCCAAGTTTCAGAGCTATCCTATATAATAAAAGGCTACTAGAAATATGCAAATCGGCCGAACGACAGAGAACTGGTTGCTATGACGCGCACTGACCACCCGGGGACACTCAACACAGGAGTTGCCCCCAGGTGGTCAGTGTGTTCCCTCAGGGGGAGTGCCACTCAGCGAGAAGTTGAGCTCATGGCTGATGAGCACAGTAGTGGTGGCGGAAGCCTCTCCTGCCTCCATGGCAGCACTAAGGATGTCCAACTGCCAGCTTAGGCCCTGTGGGGAGTGGGCCTAAGCCATCAATCAGACATACTCCAAGGCAGCGGTTCTCAACCTGTGGGTCGCGACCCCTTTGGGGGTCGAATGACCCTTTCACAGGGGTCACCTAAGACCATCGGAAAACACATATATAATT